TTCATGATATGCACAGAGAAAGACTGTAAATGGAGGCAGAAATGACGTAGATGTTCTGTTTACTTTTTAGTTGACTGTGGAGAGACTGGCCTGAGTGTCAATGTGAAGCCACCTGTATTGCTGGCACAGAATAGGGAAGCTGAGAACATTCAGAGAAGACCTTGGGGAGGGCAGAATTAAGACACCCAGCAATGGCATCTGCACTCCACAGATCAGATCCTAAATCCCTCTGCCTGCCATGCCACTCTGCACTCCGAAAAGTCATCAAAGCAGACATGGCCTTAATGGCACATGCCTGCATCACTGGTGGTGTGCAGAACAGGAGAGGAGGGTCACTGTGCGCATCATCAAAAAGAGTGCTTTCCAATCGGATGGAACGCACTCAGAAGCCCGGAGAAGAAACTGCATGACATACCTTCGCGAACGTGACCATCGTGAGAGAGTAACAGGCCTAAGCCTTCACCAGAGACTTTTGTGATTGGCAGACCCAATCACTGCGGGTGTGGCTGTGTCCTCCCAAGGCCCAGGCAGTAACAGGCACTGCACTGCTTTCCTCTCACAATCCTGATTTTCCCTGCATTTTCTCATGTGTTTTTTGTTTGTTTCGTTGCAAACTAAAGTTCTTTCTTTACAGCACAGCACCATATACAGACTATAGATAAGCCCCAAACATTCATTCTTTTTTTTATTTACACTTTACAAGTATTTAGTAAGATTAAATTATACAATAAGGAAGTCACCAACCTTGCTCACCTTGCACAAAAGACAAGTTTCAACAGAGGGTGAACAGACAAGTGAACAAAGGAATGGGAGATCTCTACCCAAACTCTCTTCTGAACCCTCTGTTAAGGCTACCTTGGAAACCCCACTCTTTCCAGGCAGAAATTTCCTTCTTACTCAGTTTGTACATAGTATTTTCCACATAATTCCTCCTCAAGTGAGTTTTCTATTGTGTGAGTGCCTCCCTGTTGTAAAATTCTTTTTTTCATTTATTTTTTATTTATTATAATTTATTCACTTTGTTTCCCAGCTGTAGCCTCTCCCTCATTCCCTCCCAATCTCACCCTCCCTTCCTCATCTCTTCCCATGTCCCTCTCCCAGTCCACTGATAGGGGAGGTCCTCCTCTCTTTCCATCTGACCCTAGCCTATTAGGTCTCATCAGGAGTTACTGCATTGTCTTCCTCTATGGGCTGGTCAGGCTGCCCAGGCCCCTCAGGGGGAGGTGATCAAACAGCCAGCCCCAGAGTTCACGTCAGAGAAGCCCCTACTAGGGAACCCACGTGGACACTGAGCTGCCATGGAACATGATGCCATGGTCTACATCTGTGCAGGGAGGGGTTCTGGGTTATCTCCACGCATGGTCCTTGGTTGGAGAATCAGTCTCAGGAAAGACCCCTGGACCCAGATTTTTTGGTTCTCTTGCTCTCCTTGTGGAGCTCCTGCCCAAACATTCATTCTTGTGACTAACATAAATGTATAATGTTAGATGCAGTATATACGTATAAATATCAGTAAGGATGATTCCAGAAAGCAGAAAAGATAAAGCCTTTTCACAACATTAAAAAGCTAATTCCCAACTGTGAAATTTGTCAACCATCATAAAGATTAGAAAGTCACCTTTACAAAAATACACCAGAAAACTGGAAAGATGGTCTTCCAGTCTAAGGGGTAGAGGTAAGGTGTAGAAAGGGTACCCCAGAAAATACCCATCTCACAATTTGTTTAATGCATAAGGGTCAGGTTATCCAACTAAGCCTGCTCACACTGTGAGGAAGGTGAATAAGTATGAGGCAAACCTCCCAGAATGCACATCCAATGGACATAATCCATGCACACTAGCCCCAGGAAATGGCCATCTATTCACAATGAGCTTGGTATCTAGAAATCCCTTGTTCCCCCTTCTGCCCTCACTAATGCAAAGAGGTACTAGCAGGGCCACAGGTAAGAAGGGGAACAAGTAAGAAATGAAAGTCCTACTGAGCAGATGGTAGCTCCTGGCTATTAGGTCAGCCCATGATTAAATTACTAACACAAGCTAGCACTCCATTTGTGCCATGGGAACCACTCCTGTTTTCTAGAGGGGTTAGTCCTAGTAGACCACAAAGAAATCTGTCACCAGTATCACCCTGGTGCTTCAACTGAATAAGAACCGTAGAACCCTACGGCTACCTTACGTGCTGACCTCTCTCTAACTGAAATTGTCCTAGCTGGTATTTAGGAAGGAAGACAGTATTAGAGAATGAGGAGGTACACCTGAAGTTGCTCAGCTTTCTAGGAACAAATCCATTTAGAGTGCTGCTGGCCACACCCATGACCACACTTCCAACATTCTGGTCCACACCTCATGATGAAATGTTTTATTGTACTGAGAAAAGTTGTTTCCTCCCCTGGAGAAAGAGCTATTCTTTGTCTTATGCCAAGAAGGCCATAAAAAAAATGCTGACCAACGAAGCTGACTCACCTGGCTTAATCACTACTTCCAATTAAAATGAAATAAAATAAAGCATTCCCTGGACCACGAAGTAACTTCCCAAGCACCGACACACCTACTGGTTCCCAAGAGTCTGCTTCTTAAGTGTGCACTTAGAGGAAGACTATGACATCAGTTGCTGAGTTGCTGGAGGCAACTCAGAGCTGGCTGATGGCACTGTGCGTGTGGAGCACAAGTTTCCCAAGCATTGTCTTGACTTTCCAGTATACCAAAACACCTCAGAGTAACAGAAGCCGAGGTCTGTGACGTTAGACTTCTGTCTGCAGCCATGACTATGGGGCAGAAACACTGTCCATCTTTCAAAATTCCCAAAGCCTGGATAGGGACCCATGGTGGAAGTGGCCACCCAACAGAAGGCTTTATCTTTCTTTGGTTCAGCTCAGCCAAATGCAAAATTCTTCAACATAACTGCTTAGTTTTATTGTTTTGTTCTGTTTTGCTGGCCCCTTCAGACAAAGTAGCAACCATAGCCTCCTATTCAGGTACAAACACTGAAGGGCCTTAGCTCTTCCCACCCTTGAGAAGGTCCGAAGAATGGCCTGAGAAAAATCACCAAGGGGTGGTTTCAGACTGGGAACTCAGCAGGTTAAATGGCCTTTCTGCAGTCAAGGCCAAAACACACCTAAGTATTGTACAACTCTACCACAACCCAGAGATGATGTCATGGTGTGTCTGGTTTTATTTTTTTAAACCTCTCACTTTTGTTTCACATTGGTTTGTGGCTCAAAAAGCTGGCCTCTCCATCACTGAGCTCATACATGGCCACTGGCCATCACTGCTTCGGTTTTCAACCAGAGGTGATTTTTGCCAAGGGCACTGGGAAATAAATACCAGGGGACAAATTTTGTTGTCATGTTTAGGACAGGAGGAAGGGGTACCACTAAACATCCTAAAATGCAGAAGATAGTCACTCACTACAGACTTCCCTGTCATAGTGCCAAGAGTCACGGTGAGACATTCTCCTCCAGGCTTGCCAAACATATGCTGTTTCTGAGCATACCAGACCTTCTCATATGCCTTTGTGCCCAAACACAGGCGTTCTTTCCCCTTTTCTAAACAGGAAATTACCATTTGCCATTCTAGTTCCAACTCAAAATTTCACCTCCTCTGTACTTTCCTTCCTAGGTCACTACCCTTGTTTGGTTTGGTTTTACCAACTAACTTAACACATGCTAGAATTATCTGGGAAGAAGAAGAAGAAGGAGGAGGAGGAGGAGGAAGAGGAGGAGGAGGAGAAGGAGGAGGAGAAGGAGGAGGAGGAGAAGGAGAAGAAGAAGAAGGAGAAGGAGAAGGAGGAGGAGGAGAAGGAGAAGGAGGAGAAGGAGAAGGAGGAGAAGGAGAAGGAGAAGGAGAAGGAGGAGAAGGAGAAGGAGAAGGAGAAGGAGGAGAAGAAGGAGGAGGAGGAGGAGGAGGAGGAGAAGAAGAAGAAGAGGAAGAAAAATGCCTCTATCATATTGCTTTTATGCTAGTCTGTAGGTCATTTTCTTGATTAATGGTTGATTTGGGAGGGCCCAGCCCACTGTGGGTAGTGCCTGAGCAGGAGGTTCTGGCTTACATAAGCAAGCACATTGAGCAAGCCATGGAAGCAAGCCAGTAAACAGCATTCTTCTATGGTTTCTGGTTCAGTTTCTGCCTTGGCTTTCCCTGAGATGGACCATGAATAAGCCAAAAAAAAATCTCCTCAAGTTGCTTTTGGTCACAGGGTTTATCACACAACAATTGAAACCAAGACAGCCACAGATCTGGATGTTTGTTCTGTGCCTCCAGAGCATCTGGCACATACCTCATTAGAATACTCAACTCTGACATAGTTAGCCACCTGCTCCAAGCTCAGTCCAAACCTTACTCATCCCTTATCCTTAATGTGCCCATCTGGTAATCAATCATTGCTCAGCAAATCAGAGAACAAATGAAAATGTTGCATGTACTCTATAGACTCTCTTGCAGCTATGTCTTTAGGCTAACAGTATCCCAACATCAAAACAATGACAAATGTTTTTAAGAGGCCTGTAATGTAGACAGGCACTATACAAGGCAAGCGGCATGAATTTGTATATTTCACACACTATTATTAGCATTTACACATGGGGGAAAGGATGACTGATAGTCATCTCAGGAAGTCTAGCCCCACAGCCTAATTCTTCAATATTCATGTCAACACAGTCACACAAACAGTCAACCTTTCATCTATCAAATGTCACTGGGAACTAGAAAAGATACTCTAGAGGACCATAAATTATGGAGGTGGCATAGTCACACAAACAGTCAACCTTTCATCTATCAAATATCACTGGGAACTAGAAAGTATACTCTAGAGAACCATAAATTATGGAGGTGGCCAACAGCTCCTGCACCCAGCCTGGATGGCCTGTGGGCATTATAGGACTACCCAACTTCTGAAACTTTAATGGCAGTAAAAGCAACCTCCGTGGGTTGCACATAAACAGACACATGTGCTCCAGAAAATAATACTGAAAAATTCAAAAGCACATTCAAAGTATCCCTTACCTTGTTCATGCTGCAGGGACAGGCACAAGGGATCAGACATGTCACAGTATGAAACAGCTCCTGAAGGTCCTTCTTGTTCCAGAATCCTCACTTCCTGAAGCAGACAGCTGCAATGTAAACACAAGCAAGAAAACCATTATGCCCAGGCAAGCTCAGCGAAGTTCTATGTCCAGGAGAACTCTCTGCCATGATGGCAGCCACTCATGCTATTCAGTTGGTCAGCTGCATGTGCCTACTGAGCCCTCAGTGCTCAGGGCAGCAGAGAGTAACACAGAACACTGCTGCTCACAGTCTGGCTTTGTAGCACTGTCAAGAAGGTAAATGCCTAAACCGAGAAATAACTAGTGAAACTGGGGGCAGGTTTTAAAATTGTATGCACTTTAAATTAAATTTAAATGGCTAGTGTGGTTAATGGCTACCATATTGGATAATACAAGTCTAAGCAGTCATGTCTCGACTCCTGAGGCATACTACAAAGACAAAGGGACAAGGATCTTCTTTGAAATATCTTCTTTTGAGCACTTATTCAGGGATAGGACTTGGGGCACTGGTGAGCAAAGCCAATGACTCAGGAATTTCTACTAATACTTAGGACTTTTTTTTCATATAATAAGTTATTTTTAATTAAAAATTATTCTAAAATTTTTGCTTTCATTTTTCCACATTTTTAAACTTCTATTAATTACACTTTACTCACTTTGTATCCCCCATAAGCCCCTCTCTCCTCCACTCATGATCCCACCCTCCCTCCCCCTTCTTCATGCATGCCCCTCCCCAAGTCCACTGATAGGGGAGGTTCTCCTCTCCTTCCTTCTGATCTTAGTCTATCAGATCTCATCAGGAGTGGCTGCATTGTCATCTTCTGTGGCCTGGTAAGGCTGCTCCCCCCTCAGGGGGAGGTGATCAAAGAGCAGGCCAATCAGATCATGTCAGAGGCATTCCCTCTTCCCATTACTATGGAACCCACTTGGACACTAAACTACCATGGGCTATATCTATGCAGGGGTTCTAGGTTATCTCCATGCATAGTACTTGGTTGGAGTATAAGTCTTTGGAAAGACCCCTGTGTTCAAATTTTCTGGTTCTGTTGCTCTGCTTGTGGAGTTCCTGTCCTCTCCAGATCTTACTATTTCCCACTTCTTAGGACTTTTTAACAAAGGCAAGAAACGGGTGTGTGGCAGCAGTTCTGTGCAGCAGACCTTAGTGCCTTTCTCTACTGAGGAAACAGAGGAAGCTGTGGGCAGAGGTCAGAGGCCAGCTGCGTCACCTCCAGGACTGCACTGTAGAACCTCCTTGGCAGATAACACTTCAGCAAGGCTTTTAAGAAGTCAGTTTGCCATCACCCCAATGAACAAAGTAATCCAGTACCTCTGCCCACAGCACCCCCCAAAAAAAATACAAAAACGAATAAGGATCTGTGTTTTGGGTTGTGGCATTGGTTCTTTACAGAGTTTTAAAATTACTTTAATGAAGTTTTAGAATAAAGCTGTGGTACAGATCCTGGGCTTTTGATTGGTCAAATCTTAAACAAAAGCGGTGTAAAATGCTTCTGGCCACTTACGTAGATGTGTGGCTTTTTCCTCTGAAAGACTCTCACAAGGAGCTAGGAGAGGACAGCAGCCTATGTCCACCTGACAGTGCGTCACTGTCCCCGGAGGCTGCACCTCACAAGATTTAGACGTTTGAATCTTGGTATGAAAAATGGAATTCGAAACTTCACTAGAACTACAGTAATTTCACACCATAAATCACAGTTTTTAAAACGGTGTACTTGGGAAGGAAGGAGTCTTCATATTCTCGGTGGCCCACCAGAGCCCCCTTCTGCTCTTGGCCTTCGGTCTAGTCTCCTGGAAAACAGCACATTCGCTGAGGTGCAGTCCCACACTGACATGTCCCATTGCTATAAAAACAACTTTGCAATTGTGTCTTCAAAAGAGGAATTCCCAATTCACACACACTACTATTCACTGAGCATCGTGTTATCTTTTTTTTTTTTTTTTTAATAAATCAGAAAAGAAGGCAATGCCACTGCCATCACAGAATGGTCAAGTGTCACGCCAGCCTCAGCAGTGACACATCCTAGCAGGAGTCCAGGAGGGATCCCAGCATCCCACTTCTGCAGGGAGAATCTACACAGAATGAGAAAAACATGGAAAATTATGAGAAATAGTTGCATTACCAGAAGCAGCAGCTCATGGGTTTCTGACGTTTACAGTAGAAACTCCATACATGCTGTTGTCTTACTTAATACACGCATCGACCCAGGCTATCACGTAACTGGAAAGCTTTTCCCTGTGCCTTACACAGATGTGTAATGTCACAAAATGTCACTTTATTATCCACATTGGCACACAGGAAATGGGCGCAGGGTCCTAACCAGCAGACAGCTACCTAAATAACCAGCTTTCGTGTGCCATGGTCCCTGACCCCTGAGAACTAACTGTCCTGACCTTCTTTGTCCCCCAGGGTTGTTATGTTATTGCTCAGGCCATTCTACGGCCAAGCCTGACTAAAGCTTGAGGGAAATATTAATGACACAGAGCGATCTTTACTCTCACTCATGGAGTCGAGGACGATACACACTGTGAATGAAGGACTGAAAAACACTGTTACTAACTGTTACTCCATGTCTTTGCTATTTTTTTTTTTGAAGAAAAATATTTTAATGTCAGGGCTTAAATATATGTATTTTTTAGTTTGCACATGTGTTGGGTGGGAAGAGTTAAGGGCATGTTTGTACACATGGGGGACCATGCCCTTGCCCGCACATGTGACTTTGGTGTCTTCTCTAAGTGTTCTCCACATTATTATTATTATTATTATTATTATTGTTGTTGTTATTATTGACACAGGGTTTTTACTGAACCTGTAGCTCACCTATGGGCTAAAATGGCTGCCTAACAGCCCACCCCCCTGGGTCCTCCTATCTCCGCTCTCCACAGCTGGGGTTAAAAGTGTGCACTGTCAAGCCCTACTGTGCCTAGCTTTTATCATAAGTTTTGGGGTTCAAACTGAGATTTCCATGCTCTAAGCACTGAGATGTCTCCCCAGTCCCAGCAGTTGCAGATTTTTAAACCGTTATCGGGAATAGCATACAGCTGTTGTAGTACAATGTGCTTTTTGACTAATGTTGTCAGTTCTGATGTCAGTGTAATCAGTGTAAGAGATACAAGAGTGTAAAAAGTTTTTTTTTTATGTTATAATAAGCAGTAGATTCTGGGATAAAAGTGACCTTCTTTCAAGATACTATAGAATTAAAACATGTACAAAGATCATGGATTAAAAACCCAGCATCCTCTCTGCCAAGAAAACATATGCATATGTACACATATACACACCAGCCAATGACCACTGTTAACAGAAAAGGCCTCAGAGAACAGCGGCACTCTCAGAAACTGGGTCAGTTCACTTGTGGTCAGCAAGCAGAAAGACTGGCCTTGTCCTATCAGATATTTCCCATCTCCTTTGGAACACAGAAAACCTGGCTGTCCTGCCGCCAATTTGGCTAAGAAGCAGCACAGAAAAACCTACAGCTTAAAAACACAACCTTCCCTCTTAAGTACAAATCACTAGGAAAGAAGGTGCCCTAGATATCACAGCAGAATCAAGGGTGTCTTCACGTTCTCTCTTTAAGAAGCTGAGGCCCCCCGTATTGAACAGAGCTAAGTATAGATTTAAAGGTTGCCCTGAGAAAACCAATCCCTATGTCACTGTGCTCCCTACTCAGCTGACCCAACAAAATTGATCCAATGGGTAATAAAGCCTGTGTTCAACCTTACACAGCTAAAAGGCTAATGAAGTGTAATCACTCAAGGTGAGCAGACTGAAGTATGAATACGCAAGCAGGACTGGGGACATGGAGAGTAAAAGAAGAAAGCAGGGGAGCTAGGGCTGTAGCTCAATAGCAGAGTGTATGCTCAGGATGCACAAGGCACTAGGTTTAAGGCCCATTTTCAGGGAGGGAGGAAGAAAGAAGAAGGGAGGAAGGAGAGAGGGAAGGAATGAAGAAGGTACATAGGTAGGTATGGGGTTAAAAGTTCCCAAAATAAGTGAAAAGAGCCAGGTAAGCAAATAAAATAGCATTGGCAGTATGGCCAAGTGCCCCTCACCAGACAACTCCTCTCTATGATGGGGACTAGGAGATTCGGGGTCCTGTGAGAATCCCACATCCTGTGCCATTTCTAGGGTTATACACTCTCATGGTTTGGGAGTCTTGAGCATCAGCGAGTGGGAGTTGGAGAAAGGAGAAACAAGTTCAACCTGTTTCACCACTATTTACCAACAACCTCCACCTACAATCAGACTTCTGCTTTACCTGGATCATTGCTAAAGTTCTTTGAAGTATGATAAGAATAGAATAAGCCAGCTTGGTTCCACGCTCCTTACTCTAAGGGAAGCTTAAGAATGTCAGGGCTGTTTCTTTGTGTGGCATGTCTTGGCCCCTAAAAATGCTGTTGATACTGACAGCTGAGAATGGACTATGCTGACTTGGGCTTTTCTCTCCACTCCAATGCTTCTCTCCCTTCCCATTTGTTTATTCTAGAAGCCTTTTGTAATCTGTCGCAAGGTTGTATAGCTCAGATACTCCAAAGGGATATAGGCCAATACAAGCAAGCATTTCACTCTTCACCATATTAAGGCTGTCATTCACTGGCTTTCAAATGCATGTGCTCTGATACCAGCATGAGTTCTCTTGGCCATACTTGTCCTAAACTATATTCTGGCCATCCTCTTTTCTATACTACATTCAGCTGTGTAAACAAAGGACTAGACATAAAACAGATCAAGAGCTTTTAAGTAAGAGTGGCTGAAGAAATAAAAAGATGACCAGACTTCAGAGAGAAAAGACAGAGGAAAGTGTGGGAAAAATGATCAAAACACCAAAATAAAACAACAAAAACAACAACAAACAAGACTTAAGAGATTGGTCAGTCAGAGGAGCAGGACACCTGATTTTTGACTAAGATGCCAAAACCATACAATGGAAAAAGATAGCATTGTCAATAAATGGTGCTGGTCTAACTGGATGTCTACATGTAAGAAAATGAAAATAGATCCATACTCATCACCCTGTACAAAACTAAGGTCCAAGTGGATCAAAGATCTC